TGAATATGTGAATTCATAAATATGAACAGAACAATGTAGATTTTTAGGTTTAGAAATGAAAAGCAAGTTATCATCTGCTTAAGTGAACCTGAATTTAATGTTGCTAAAGTCTACAATGAGCTCTCAGTCTCATTGTGTTCGATGGATTTTTAAGAAGTAAGTCAGAGAGTAAGGAGGCGCTGAACTGCCATTTCTCAAAAAACAAAAGAGAAACGGATCAGTATCTCATTATAATGAGATAAATATGTATCTTGTTGTAACAAGACACGTTTTGATCTCATTTTAAGAAGATATGTTTCACGTGATAACGAGATAATATGTATCATGTTAGAAACTGAAACCATATCACGTTTTTAGAAAACAGCGGGCGGAGCACAGGTAAACGGAGGAATATGGCTCATTCACACAAATTGATTAAGTTCTACTTCATGCTTGGGTTGAGACATGGTGACACTCTATACACGAAAGTCACTCTTCTGGTACACTACGATTTCGTAGAAACTTCAACAGTGGGGCATCGCTCAGGGCTGCCATTGTGTCGCCAGCTGCCGCTGCAACGACCAAGTGCCAGTTCACAACCAGGGCACAGGAGTCCTCCTCTGCTGAGACCAACGTGACACCTTATCACATTATAATGAGATAAAAACGTATCTCGCTATAATGTGATAAGTTAGTATGTTGTTAAAACGTGATAATAGGTCATTTTAACAGGAAACTTTTAACGTTATAACAAGATAGTGATCTGTTTTTGTTGTTGTTGTTTTTTTTGAGGAGTGGCTGTTGAGCGCTTCCATAAGAGAAAGTCGTTCATTTAGCAGTTCATATATTTGGTGTTGGACATTTAAATAGGCAGATGTAGTTTCATCACGTATGTCCCTTGATTCTCCTGGTTTTAAATGGCTCCAATTCATTTAGAACTTCCTTAAGATAACACAACTTTACAAATTAGAGATAATATTTGTGCATGTCGAGGGATGTGTAGATTTTATTTGTGCTTCATGTTTTCTTCAAACATAATAGAGATGAAGTAGCTGTGATCCAGACTGAAGCTGAGGTCAAAGGTCATGATGGAAACTTTTTACATTTTTTTGTCCTAAGTTGGATCCTCTTGATTATTTGAAAAGAAAATGAATAAGCAGAGTTTATATTCAAC